ATAATGATATAATTCATTTAATATCATTATTAATTTAATATGCAATGAATTAATATGAATATTATATGTATTAAATTACAATTAAAGTCAAATATGATATTATATTCATTTATATTAATAAATTTCAATTATATAATGTTTTATATAACAAATAATAAAAATAAATTAAAAAAATGAAATTTCTTAATTTGAAGTGATTGAAATAAAGAAAGATAGAAATAAATACATTACATTCACTGAATTGTTCATTTATTTATTATTCATATTATCAAATTTTTGATATATTTATTAATTGAATATTTATCATTTGTATGAATACATTTCTATGATATTCATTTTCATATTCATCAAATAAATAATAAATAATAATTTATTGAGGTATAAATTATTTGTTATTAATAATTTATATTAAAAAATAAAAAAAGAAGAAAAAATGAACGATTATCTTAAAAATAAATTTTAGTTCAAACTCAAAATAAAAGAAGAACTAATAAAATAATAAAGAAAGAATGCAATTAGGATATAATGAAATAATGATTGTCTCGAAGTATTTTAAAGATATTAATGATTTTATTAATTTAGAAATGGGAGTTAAAAGATTTAGAGGAAATATGGAACGATTTCATTTTAATCCAATTCCATTGAATCAATATTCAAGAAAATTATTTCCTAATATTGAAACATTTCATATTTATAATAAAGAAGATGAAATATTTAAAGATGGAAAAATATTTAAATATGTAATATGGTATAAAGTAGAATATTCAAGATATTTAGAAGAGAAAGAAGAAATGAATGAATATAAAAATATCGCATATACAGAAGAAGATAGAAATACATATGGAAATACAATACCAATAGAAGTTAATTCACTTGAAGATTTTTGTTTTTATAGATGTAATGATATTCAATCAATTGAAATACCAACAAGTGTAATTGAAATAGGAAATGGATGTTTTTATGAATGTTCATCATTAACAACAATTAATATACCAACAAGTGTAATTGAAATAGGAAATAGCTGTTTTGAAGAATGTTCATCACTCATATCACTTACTATAGAAGATGTAAAATATATAAGTGAAGAAAGAATATTTATGAATGAACCAATGTTAATTAGTATTGAAATACCAAAGAATTTAAAAATAATAAATGGAAAGAATATTGAAAAGAAAGATATTAATGAATTTAACATTCCATCAACAATTACTAAATTAGGAGATAGTTGTTTTTCTGAATGTTATTCATTAACAACGATTGAAATACTAACAAGTGTAATTGAAATAGGAAAATATTGTTTTGTTGGATGTTCATTAACAACAATTAATATTCCATCATCAATTACATCATTTGGATATGGGTTGTTTTTATCATTGGTGGATGTGAAAAAAAGTTAAAGAAGAATAAATCAATACCAGAATATTGCTTTAAAAAATAAAGAAGAAATAAAGAAAGAAGATAATTGAATTATTAAAGAATAAAAAGAATGTTTATTTTATAATTTAAATGATAAGAAATACATCATAAACAAATTAATTGATAATAAAATAAAGAATGAAATATCAAATGAATGAAATGAAATAAAATCATTCATCATTTATTTAATTATTAATATGTTATGTTTATTCATTTTTATTTTATTTCATATTATTTATTTGTTTCAATGTGTTGAATTGATATTTCATCTCTTATTAAATGATATTTCATTCTTTATATTTGTTTTGTAACAATTTTATTCTTTATTTTTATTCTGTTTTTTATTTCTTCTTCTTTCTGATTTATTTTAAACATTATTTCATGTCATACTTTTCTTTATATTCTTTATATTCTTCTTTATTGTTATTATTGTATTTATATAATAGTTGTTATTTCATTCAAATATAAAATAAATCATAAGAATAATGAAATAGAAATGATGAATAATAATGATGAATTAATATAAATTTTATTTTATTCTTTATTTTATTTTAATAATAAATAACAATATTAATCAATTTATAATGATAATAAATCTGTATGAAATGAAACAATGATAAATTGATAAAATAAAAAGAATAATTTTATTGTATTTTCATTTATTTTATTATTCATTTAAATATATGTTATTTCATTTCTTATTATATTTTCATTTCTTATTATTTTAATTTATTTACAACATATAATTGTATCAATTTGATATAACATTGATGATTTATATTTATTTATCATATTTTATTCAACATAAAAATAAAATATTAAATAACAATA